CTGGCTTGAGTCGGAAGGGACCTTAAAATCGTCTAGTTCCAACCCCCTGCCGTGGGCAGGGACACCTCACACTAGACCATGTTGCCCAACCTGGCCTTGAACAGGGCCAGGGATGGATCACTCACAACTTCCTTGGGAAGGCTGTTCCAGTGCCTCACCACCCTCACAGTAAAGAGCTGTTTTATGTCTAACATGGACTTCCCCTGTTCCAGTTTAAACCCATTACCCCTTGTCCTGTCACTACAATCCCTGTTGATGAGTCTTTGTATGTATGGGCAGTTGAGCTTTGCACAGTATTGTAGTTTGCTTAGTTTACTTCCTTGTAGGAAAAGAGGAGAAACAGGTATGATGGAAATTAAAAGCTGTATGTGCTCCCCTCCAAGCTCTTCAGTTTTGCTAAGAGAGAAGAATTTGTGTTTAGCACCATCTGCTTGTACCGCTCTGAAAATGACTGCATCCCCAGTGGTTACAGAAGGGGATGGGCCACAGGACTGACTAATTTAGTGGAATATGTATATATTTTCTTCTCTCTTTTGGTTTCTGTAGCCATGCGGCTCTCAGAATCTGTTTCAGTCTGTCTAAAGTTGTAGGATTTGTTCCATCCCACAAAATGAGGGAAGAGTGTAGTGCATTCTCACCTGTGGTGGGTTGGCATCTTCCTGCCAACTTCTGCTTTACAAACACTGGACAGAATGTTTTAGTTTATCCAGACTTTGTAAACACTGTAGATACTCTCTAGGTGTTTGTTTTTCTTAGGTCAAACTTCTGTATATTTCCTTTGACTTAAAAAACTCTTTCAGAAAACAGTCACTTGTTGAAAGTAGCAAACCTACAAAATAATTATACTACTGAGAATAATTTTTACACAAACGGTTAATTCATAGATCTGTTTTTTTAACTGTTATGAAACTTAACTGATTCAATTCAATTTAATTTAATGACATGACGCTAATATGTCTTTACTACCTGACAATCTTTAGTGTATGAGTGTCCTGAAGTTCAGTTGCCACTGTGGGTCACACAGATGTACTTATTTAGCCTCAGCCCACCAGCTGATTCTTGTAATACAATGTACTGTCATTGTGGGCTAGCTACATGGTTATTATAAGAAGGAAATGTTGCTTATGTTGTAAGTTGTTGGTACTGTATCTGTAGTTATTCAATGATGCTGTCAGGATGTATTTCATACTTAGGCAGCTATTAATTTGGACACGCTCTCAAGTAATCTCTGTCTGATTTTTGGTCATTATTTTAAAATATTTAATGAAGGATAATATCCAACCTGGTTTCAGCACTTTGAGTATTTTAAGACCTCATTTATGTGTACATCACTTCGTTAGCCTGTAGTGCAGAAAACCTTATAATAGAATATATTCTCTTGTAGTAATGTAAGTGAGTAAAATCTCAGAATTGGAAGAGATGATGCCATTATTGTCCATTTTAAATAAATAGTTTGCTAGTCAAGGCCTTTGGATAGACTTGTTTGTCTAAAGCTGCAATTGTTCATGTAGAAATCCAAACTTACTTTATAGCTTGCAAAGGAATACTGTTAGACAACCGTGCTAGAAAGGTGCTTTTGTAATTTAAAAAATTTCTGATATTATTTCTACTCGTTTCTGATAAATAATTATTTTTGCTTCTTTTTTTCTGCCAAGGATCGCCACCTTTTTGAGACATTTTCTGAGTCTGTTGATGTTATTCTTCAATGACTTTTGGGGTTTCTTTCTTATCATAATCAACAAAACTTAGATTGGAAGTCAAACATTTATTTGAATTTTTATGGACTCCTATGCCTTCTTGTTAGTTACTTTCAGAACTGTGGCAGTGTGGAAGCATGCTAACTTCTAACAGCAGTTTTGACCTTTCTTAAACAGGAGATTTGACATATTTCTTTTTTAGTGAAAGACAAGCAAACAATAAATAGTTAATCTATATTTACTCTATAAAACCAAAACCTTTGGATTACATCAGAAGAATTATTAGGCAATTTTTAAAAATCTCAAACTTTCCTTTTCCTACAGCCACCTGGAAGAAAAAACACAGTGGGAACATCCTAAGTCTGGGAAGAGGAAACGTGTTGCAGGAGGTTTGTGTTAAGCTTTTGTAACAAACTGATATTATGTTACAAACATCAGTTGGAATTTGTGTGGAAACTAGAGCTCATTTTGATCCTCTAGTTGACACTAGTCACCTAGGCAAACTGAGCTTATAAAATACAGCAAAATCACTTCAGTGGGGTTTTACCTCTGTGGTAATGTCTGTGTAGAGTGATCATTGTGCAGTTTTATGGCTTTCTTGTATTGCTCCATAAAGCCAAAGTACTAATTTCAGGATAAAAGGATTGTTTTACTGTGGCTTGTAAAGCATTGACTATATGAGGCTGGGATTCTATGATTGAGTTCTGATATCCTGCTGTCCATCAGGTAATATTTATAGTTAGATTATATTCATCAAAGAATGTCCCTGGCACAGAAGAAAGTCCCATTAGTTTAATTTTGTTTTCCCTAACTCAATTGAAAGCTTGTGCCAGATGAGAAGACAGCCAGTGTTACAGGACACTTCCAAAGGTATATGGCTTCTTAAGGACCTTGGATCAGTGCCTTAAATTAGATCTTCCCAGAAGCATTTATATGGTGTACATAGGTGTACTGTAGTGTTGGCAAGCCATACTTCTTTTGGCATTGGTAATGTGACTATAACTGGAATGTTTTCAGTAGATTTTGAGCCAATTGAATTATAAATGAATACTTTTCAGCCAGGATTAGAAATACTGGGAATGCTATTTAAGTACTTCTGTAAGGTCTTTTATATAAGAATTTATTTGGTAAAGATTTGTCATTCTTGTTCTTTTATCTGTCCTTCCAACTTCATATAATCATAGAATCATTTAGGTTCGATTTAACATATCCCATACCTACTTGAGAGTTCTGATCTTCCGGCTAGTGGTATGTGTTACACATAACTTTTCCTACATTTAGTTCAATGTTTTTGCAGCTTACTTTATCAGGGATAGCTAAACTGTATGTAGTATAGACACGTGTATGTAGTAGGAAGCAAGCTTGCATTTTGCTGTTTTGTGCTATACAATGGAATAATCTTTATAAATAATTTTTAGATTATACTTAATATTCTAGTTATTACAGTTGTACCAGACCGCCAGTATGTTGTACTTTTATTAGAGGGCAATTGTGTGTGATTAGGGAAGCAATTCTTTCAAGTGACAATATTCAAGTGCAGCAGGTAGTTGGATTACCTACAGAAATAATTCAGAGTTTTGCCACATCTGTCCAAGAAATCACTTCAAATCTGAATGTACTTTAATGCCTGAAAAAAGATAATATTTTATGCTTCCTAGGTCTGCCATATGGATGGGAGCAGGAGACTGATGAAAATGGACAAGTCTATTTTGTTGAGTAAGTATGTAAAAATGTAGAATGTAGGCAAGTAGCACAACTGTGTTTCATATTGGGTAGCCTTTTTGAGTTATCACACTGTGATTATCAGCTGGGAAGACAAAGAAATTAATAAGTACAATTTCATAATCCATATGCAGAAATCACAGTTGTAGCAGTGTCTAAACACTTGTTTGTATTTTTCTGAATTCTCTTGTGCGTAGAATTACTGACATGGGGGCTGGAGTGAAGTGACGGGTATCCACATCATACAAAGTGAGCTGGCCCTCAGGAACTGTTTATGTGGGCTCATTTTGTTTGTATACCTTTATGGATAAACTCTGTACTAACTTTAAAAACATATTAGGAACTTCATGGCTGATTGTTAACATTTCAGTAGTGCTTTAAAATACAAGATGAAAGGAAAATTGCTGCAGCTCTGACTCGCAGTGTAAAAGCACAGAAAGGAAGGAGGACAGGGATTGAGCTAGCAAAGATGTTTAGAAAGGAAAGGTCACAGAAGAAGAAAGAGAATTCTGGGAACGTTTCCTTCTTTATCTGTTCCATGGCAGGGTCAAAATGGAGTAGTTATCTTAAACTGGCTTGGCAGAATGAAGAATATTCGCAGGCTAAAATAGTAAGTGTAGCCTCTCTGTACTATGGTTAAGGGCTGAAAGTAGTTGCTTAGTGTTTCTAAAGAAAAATGAAAACTCTGTTTTAGGCAGGTGAGTCTGACCCAAATTGTGCTATTTGCTAAGCTGATCTGAAGCTTTCTGTTTTCAGTTGTTTGAGGAAAAAGGACTAAGCTACATTTATCATCGGTATATTGTTTCAAGGGAGCAGTCTAGGCCCCTCTTATAGAGCTCCTAAGAGAACATGATCTTCCCCAATATAATGAGATTTTTCCCTTGACAAAATCATGCTTTCTGTGTCAGGGGTTCACATGAAGTTCAGAATGGTGTTGTGAGGTATGTGAATACAATTACTAATGGACACTGTTACAATTAGGAGAATGTTTGATGATAAAAAAACCAAACAATTGGGGTAATTTTAACATAACTTGAAAAAAAATTTGGGGGAATTTAAGGAATCCACTGGGATTGTATACAACAGTGGTTGAAATACATTGAAGATCTCAGTGCAGAGTACAGGAGGGTCCAAGCAGTTGAATTTTTATGTTGTTTTGCAGCCACATAAACAAGCGGACTACCTACCTTGATCCAAGACTGGCCTTTACAGTTGAAGATAATCCAGTAAAACCTACTACTAGACAAAAATATGATGGAAACACTACTGCAATGGAAATACTCCAGGGCTGTGACTTGAGTGGCAAAGTGGTTATAATCACAGGAGCAAATTCAGGAATAGGTAGGTTTACATTACATGAGGTAAATCTTTATCTTTCAGGCTACTTTATTTAAATAGCTACATACTTTTGGTGTTCACACTCGGTTTGTATTACTTCCATATGAAACCTCTAGTTAGAAAACTTTGTTCAGGTTTCTGTACTGCTTTTAAGGAAATGAGAATTTGGAGCTTAGGGGAGAACTACAGGGAAATCATCAAGTTCTGAAATGATTGGTTCTTATCTAGACAAGTATTGATGGAGGCATTTTGGAGTACCTAAATATATAAAAGATGTCTGTGAAAGGGACGGAAGTTTCTTTTTATGGCCTTGGCGTCTAGGACAAGGAGTAAGGTTTGAATGGCTGCACTGGAGTTTAGATAAAGTATTCAGAAAGAACTTTCTAATAGCAGGAAGTAAACTCAGGTAAAGATTTTCCAAGGAGGCTATAGAATTTTTGTCTCTGAAAGTATTTACAGGTCAACGTGATGATGAACTTGTGTCAGAATGTCATATTCAGTGGTCATTTAGGACAAAACCATTTGTTTGTGACCTTTTGAAATCCCTGTTAGTTTTATTTTTCAGTGTGTTCACATATCTTTTTAGACACTCAGCTTGTTTAGGTATCTGTTACATAGTATTACTTCTATAGCAGGTGAGATACTCTAATACTCTAATTAGCTGCTTTTGTTTCATTATATAGTAAAACTTTGGTGCTTATGGGTTTTGCCTTTCTTCTCAGAAGACAGAATTTCTTCTCCAACTTCATTTTCTAGGCTGTCTGAAGTTTCAGTCAGCAACCTGCACAGGATAGGTCTTTTCTGTGGCTTAGATTTGTGGAGGAGCCACAAATATCAGAACACTGTTGTGGTTTGGAGTTAGATTTGAACTTTTGGTAAATAAGGGGATCTACCTAAATCCTAGATAACTGTTATTCTTGTGCCCCCTTCTGTGCTTTGGGATTTTCTCTATGGTAGGATTATATCAATATTGAAAGAGTCCTTATGCAAATTATTTGGTGTCTTTTTAGTGCAGGATCTTGACTTAAGTGCATTTATGAGGGCATAGGAAAACCTTGGAGATGTTCTGGAAAAGAGATTAATAGCAGGACTTATGACTCTGAATTCTCCTGGTCTTTCCCTCTTAATTATTTAAGGTGTCTGTTGTCCCATGGGAGTCAGATGAAGAATTTAAAGCTTTATTGTGGCTTGCTATTTAGGCATTAGCAGCACGCATCCTGCTGTCCTTGCATGATACGCTACTACATATTGGTGTTGCAGTTAGGACAGCAAGTGTTGTACTTATCTGTCTCAGTGAAGAATTTGTGTTTTCTAATAAGGTGCATGTTCCAGATTCTTGGTACAACATGCCTTTACATTGCATCCAGCAGGACAATTTGCTTTGTATGCAACTATGCAGTCTCAGAACATGTAAGAATTACCTGGACTCAAATGTTTTGCCTTCAGAGGGAGAAGGGCTGCCAATCAAACTTGCTGAGTGAGCTGAAAGTGTTTCATATATGGCAAAAGATTATTCCAAGATGTGTGATGCTTTTGTCCAGATTTCCCCCTCCCTTTTCTCTCTTAGTTTGTAATCTGGATTGATCACAAGTAAGCAAGACTATCCTTGCACCAGATAATCTTTGCTTGTGCCATATATGCACAAATATATGTATACATGCATGTATATACTTTCTTGATTTCTATCAGTAGGTGGGGGCAGCATGTCCCATGGTTAGAAGCATGCTAAGAAGAGTGGGAGCCTTAGTGAAAAAAAACCTTGGGTTTGTGCTGCTATATGAGGTTAGGGCATAACAAATCCAAAACTATAAAGGTGATGTAGCAAATATGTGCTGAAGGTGGTGTTATGGCCTCTAGAACACAAAACTCTTGTATACCATGTTGTATTTAGTATTGCTATCGTCCTAGACTTTGTGTCTGGTACTACTTACTAATTGCCATGGAGCATGAATTAAGCAGAAAGCAGTTGTATGGTTTATGCTTCTGATATATGCTGTGCCCTTTTTTTCCTAGCTCAAGGGGTTTCTGACTGAGGATATAATCTGAGCTGGGCTTGTGCCGGTAGTGACTTCTGATTGACCTGTTTGATGGGGAAGACCAAGGTTCAAACTCCCTGGTGGTGTGTGAAGGAAACACTCCCTCTTTGGGATTGGCTAACAGTATTCTTGTCCCATTAATTGGCAGAATTTCAAGTTTGCTTGGGACTCTGTTGTCTGAGTCCTTACAATATATCAGTCTTAGCTTTCTTAACTATGCTTTGTGACTCTTGGCAAGCTGCTTTGAACGTGTCAGTGTGATATAATGGATTGCAATGTAGAGATCCCTGGGAGCTTTAATATGTCTACACAATTCTTTGGGACACTGTGGAAATACTAATTGGCTAGCTTAAGTGGAGTCCTACCAGTTTTGGAGCTTATTCCCCACTTATTTTAGGAGTGTTCCACTTTGTGTGGTTGATAGGCCTTTTAATCAATCTGTGTTTTTGAGCTAATAATTCCCTCGCTGAGTATGTTGAGACGTAAAGAAATACAGTGTTTTCAGAAAACTTAACATCCTTTCTTTAGGAGTCAGGTGTAAATATTTCCTTGGAAATATTGCTGTCCATTAAGTAGAAAGTGATTGAAAAAGAAAGTATTACTTGTTGAGCACTTGTACTTAATAATGTAAGAAAAAATATTACCCAACTCTTTAATGGTTATCAGAATTGGTATATTTGAAACTAAGTTTATGGTATCTATTTTTAATCTGTTGTGGGTTTTTTTTTTCACCTTTTCAACATGGGTAGGACAAAGATCAAGGTGTAAGCTGGTAGACTGCGTTCTATCAACATGCAATCCATTTGCAATTACTGCATTGCTGGATATTTAAGTTAAAATTTGGAAAATGCTGAGAATCCCTTGAAAGATGGATGAACATAGTTCTGTTTTCTTCTTCTTTTTTTTTTTTTCTTAATTCATCTATATACAGTGCTTTAAGATAGCGAAGATAAAACCAGATCAGCGAAGATGGAATGATACGTTAATTCACTTCATTTGTGAATCTAATACAGGGAATCCAGCCTACCTTGCCAGGAACTTTTTTTTTTTCTTTCTTATAGTTGAAAAATCTCCTCAACTTCTGAAAAATAAAGATGTTTGCTTAGTTTCAGAGGGAATACTTTGGATAACTTCAGAAGTGATAGAATTCTGATGGTATCACACCTACTGGTGTTGCTTTTTTTTTGCTACTGATTAGGAATATGAACTGTAAGAATTTCCTGGATTATATACCCACTTTCTTAATTCAGTCCTTAAAATTGCTGCAAAAAATGCGTGTGTGAGGGGAAAATAAGTACTAAAAAAAACTGGATTTATAAACACTTCATTAGATTTCGTTAGCAACTTGGAAAAGGTTAATGAATTATGCTGTTCTTAAAATGTAGAGAGATCATAGCAGATCAACGATTCATAAAATGTTTCCCTATTCATTTTTTTATTTATTTTGGAAGCTTTTTCTTCTGACAGTGCAGTGCAGTTGTTCTTTGTATCTTTTTTTCATCTATTTTTTTAAGCTCAATTAAAATTTTTATCTGAGAATCACATTAAAAGTTGAGGTAACTCTTGGTCACAGTAAAGGAGCAAGTAAAAAAACAAGATTGGACTTACTGAACAGTTTAGTCATACTGTGTCAATCTTTCTGGTTTTAAAAACTCTTTGTTCTATCTACGTTTAAACATGAGTAGTGTAAATTGTCAGTTTGTTCGCTTAAAGTCGGAAAGGCTTATTTCACTGTGAGGAGTTGGAGAAGGTGTGCAATTTTGTGTTGTTTTTCTGTTTTAAGGTCTCAATGTCAATTAGGTTAGAGTGAAAAGTACTTTCTTAGCATGCTTGTGTGAATGAAGTCGTACTTTCTAACTTTCTCACTAGAGGGCTGTGTTGCTCTTTGAATATGCTAAACAAAAGAGAACTGGTGCTTTTTCCTGGTTTTAGTAAATGCTCCTCTAATTTGGTTGTTTGTGTTCTTAACTGTTAGGGGTAGAATTCGGAATTTTTAAAAGCATGTCATCTGTTCATCTACGTTCAATTTTATAAAGAAATGTGGTAGTCTCAACGGCATGTGTACACAATCTCCTCAAGTCAAACAATTATAAAAAAATTATTACTTGTTTTTAATATTAGGGAGACAGATGTGTAGCTAATGTGATTTTCTATGATTTGTATAAATATTGCTATCTGTTTTTTAAGATTCATACAGCTGTATGACCTTGAAACTAGAATATGTTCTGTCTTCTGTATCTGGTGCAGTTGCATCTAACCTACTGTGACTGCTAGAGTATGCATGAGTAGCGAAATGTAAGTAGTATTGCAGTACATTATGGAAGGGCAAAATGTGTACGTTCTGTGCAGTCAGGCAGATTCCATAAAGTAGGCTTTTTCTTAAGGCTTTTCCAAGATTTTATCACAAAAATGTATTGATAACCACAACTATACCATTGCTCAAACTGGAATTCTAATTTTTCTGCTACATGAAGGTCAAAAGAAATCTGTTAATAGCATTTGTAAGGGATGCCTTGAACAAACAGCTTAATTTTTTTCAGATACTGAAGAAAACCCAGAAGCTTCAGCCATAATGTGGCTTGCTATTTTGCTTTTCTTGATTAGGTTTTACCAGAGTGAACCATGTAATTGTATAATTGTGGAAATGTTTCAGATTATTTCTTCAAAATAATTGTTGGTTAATGTTTGATTAGGTGGAATTCTCTGGGTTTTTTTTCTGGTACTTTTGCTGCTATACAAATGAAGAGGTGTTAGCTAGAAGAAAAGTGGAATATAATATACTGTTAATCAGTACTTAAAAGATGAGTCACTGCTTCAGTGAGCTTTTGGTCTGCGTGTACTTCTGGTGTGAGAAATTATGGTTTTTTTTATTTCTTGTACGGAACTTCAGTATTAACGACTTTTGTCATACTGATGAAGGAGGTTGGAAAACATGCTTATAATTTATCACAATTAAACATCTGCTTT